GCAGTCAGATCTACCCCTCATCCCACTGGTCCCGACTGTGAAAGGTTTTCTTCTTATCAATCCTGTGTTTTTAATATAAATAAAAATCTTGATCTCTGCCACTGGGAAACCGCATCCCATTTTTTTTCCTAACAGAAAAATGGGAATAGGTTTCCTTTAACTAGTGGAAGGGTCTAGACTCTAAAAAGGTTTTTATTATTGTGTGCCCGGGGTCCTTGGTTTTAGACATTTATCTTCTGGCGAACCAGTAGGGAACAAGAAAGGCAGTATTTTGCAACTCCTAGACCCCCAGCTCTAAATAATGACTCAAAGCTGAAATTGAAGCAGGTGCATCATCTTCTTCATTGTGTCACTTTTAGCACAGACATTATACTTTATGGGCTTCAACTATCAAAATAGTTTGTGCAATGGACCCTAAAAATGGTGATGCATCAATCAATCAGTCAAGCTTTATTGCTTCAACTTTATTTACAGCTGGCTTATAAGCCATATTATAATGCACAATAAGAAACACAACAGAATACAAATGCATTGTAACGCAGTGCCATTTCTGTGTGTTTACTCTGAAGCCTGTGGCTGCTCTCCAAGAAATACCCCAGCGAGTGCACTGCACCAAGCCAAATGCATCCCTGGTGTAATCTCATCGATTCTGCCCTGCCAGACCAGCTCCAGGAGGATGGATTCAGCCAGTCCCAGTGGCTTGCACAGGCTCCTGGAGCCAGCCGGGCTCCGACAGTGCTGTTAATAGGATGGGCAACAGTGTTCAGAGAGGAATGAAGAATGGAGTGGGTTGGCTGGACAGGCAACCGAGCAGAGGGCTGTTTGTTTCTGTAGGATTGGTCAAAGACCTTTAGCTGTCAGCTGGATGTTTTTCCTTTCTGCCTTTGGATTCCAACCGCTGTGCACAATTTAGGTAGAAAAGCATTGAAGCTACTCTAGGGTATGGTTATAATACATACATGGAGGTAAAGCTGTTGTTACTGGGTTTGCCACAGGTTCCCATGGCTCTTCCCAGATGATTGACGTCTTTTGGGGTGGTGACATCTCACAGGCTTTCCATAACCATTATATGCCATGCATATATTATGATATGGCCTGTATGTTATATATGTCATATATATGATATATATCAATTTTGTCATCAGCAGGGGCAATTTTGAGTGGGGCAGATACAACCGTGCTTGAACTGAAATAAATGCCAGTAGAAGGTTAAGGCTTCATTTATGGAAACATGACCAGCATCTAAGAGTATCAAGCTGGTAGTGCAAGTGAACAAGTGGCCATCTACGTATTGTTCTATGGTTACTGCAGGAGAAGTTTGCAGTATGGGCCTCAGGTTTCCATGTAAATATTTTGGTTTGAGATGGCAGTGGTTATGGCAGGTGATCATGTCCGTGTTAGTGCCTGCATCAGATGCAAGAACAAATGCATCATCTCTCCAGACTGTGTGCTTGCTTCTGCATTAATTTCTCACTGCAGGCACTTCTTAGGCAGTTCAGAAAGAGTGACTTAGAAAAGGTGACTTAGCAAAGAAACAAAAAAAAAAAAGATGATTAGAGAGTGTAAGAAAAAAAGGCTTGGCTATTGAATATAAAATTCTTTATATGGCAAAATATGAGCAATGTAAGGTTTGGAGTTTTGGATTCTTTTAAAAAGGACTCAAATTTTCGTTGATGCTGCAATAAAAAGATGTTTGTAAATATGCAACTAACATCTATTTTGCAAAACAGATTGTTTTCTAATGCTTGTCCCTTCCCCAAATACTCGTGTTGTTCATATCAGCTCGTAGAGTTTACTATAGTATTTGTAGTGGAAATCTCTAATTTGATATTTCCCCGGTGAGTTTAATGAGCCTGAAAAGTGACATTTAGAGCTAGTTTCCTCTTTGTGCTTTGAAAAATGAAATACAAGTAGTTATCTGTTCAATGAGATAATTACATTGCTACTTTGCTAAAGGCACATATTAGTGATTTTTAGCTTGTTTCACTTAATTAAAGCTTTACAAAACGTAGAGTGCCAAACCGCTAATAGACCTGTTGGAACAGTTACTGAGACCGTGAAATAAAACCAGTTGTTCTAAACAAGTCACAGAAAGAGACTGATGAAATGGCTGGCAGCTCCAACATAAATTTAAGCTTTGGCTGCATTAGAGCAAATGTAATAACAGCGGCAAGTAACCAATAGTTTTAATTCTACTGATCTTCCTACAATAATTATAAGGAACTTTTAATGTCTGTAATTAGACTGTTAGAGATAGACCAGTGCTGCACTGTGAAAAATTGGATGCTTACTATAATTGAAAATTAATCACTTTTCATTACCTGGAAGGGATGCAGTTGTTATTTTGAACGGGTTGAGATACATCATATTAATTATGGGCAAACAAATTCACGTATTTGAAGTTAGTAACTTTGGTGCCAGTGGCCAAGTCTGTGCCAGAAGTGTTTCTGCTACCAGAACGTATTTGATTTGGTGGTTGTCTGACCACTAATTGCAGCACAGAAGTTTGTTTTGCTAAGGCTGAATTTTACCAGTCGTGCCCTCAGTGAACCACTGTTGGGTTTTCTTTGGGTGGAACAACTGTTTGAACAAGCTGTAACCCCAAATACACGTATGCAGCCATCCCAGCAGCCTTTGAGCGTATTTGAACAGTGAAGTAATGAACAGGCCACACTGCAGGGGCAGAAAATGGTGCAGGATGTCTGTGAGGAGTGCTACTGCTCAGTCTGATGGCTGTGCAGAGGCTGCCCCTTTCCCTGCTCGTGTAATGGAAGCTCACAGAGCGGCTGCTCCTCACCCATACAGCCACCAGATCCCTGGAGCTCAGTGAACGTGGCCTCCCAGGCAAATGGGCCTCTGGGGAGGAGGAAAACGAGCTTGTGGAAGAGGCTGGTTTGGGCATGGTGCTCCTCAGATGAAGTTGTTTATTTTGTCCTGAATGAGGACATGAGTGCTTCAGGACAGTCTGCTAACCAGGGATGGTATCAGAAATAACATTTTTAGACTAGCAGCAGTCTCAAATGGAAATGCATGCTAAAAAATAACCTTTTCTAGTGAAAATGGGGATTACAAGCATTTTTTTTTCTGTTGTAATGAAAAGGTCTCCTTTTTTTTCTTTTTTTTTTTCTCCAAACTAGCTCTGCTCTTTTGTTATGCGTTGTCACTGACACCAGATTTATGACTTGAACCAGCAATGTGGCACCCTCAGCACCCTGTAATGCCTTTCTGTTTAAAAGGTGGCATTTTATGCTCCAAAGGTGATGTGAAAATGTCACCATCTTGCTCCACAATTCTTCTCCTTGCGCATCTGTCACTGATCCCAGCTGCCAAATGCAAGGGCAGCAGACGCACAAAATCTGCTCCAAGCATTATCCCGTGCGTTGGCAATAGGCTCTTGCCCAGCTGTGGATTTCTTAGAAAACATCCAATCTTAGGGGCAATAAATGAGCATAACGGTGAGGGAGATGTGTCCCTTCTTGGCTGTAATGGCTTTCTTCTGGCTGCAGCAGGAAAGGTAGAAATCAGAGCCCTGGCTGCCACTGAGTTTCCATATGCAGAGCCACGCTGCTCGAGCTGCGCACCTTTCCCTGCTGTCATTAGGCTGAGCAAGGATGTGGCTGCTCATGACTGGGTGATTGATGTCAAATGTAGTAGCAACATTAAATTTGTCTGATATGGACAAAGAAAAGCATTATTCACTGTAAAAATCTTGTCTAAAGTTCCCATCTAGCCGGTGCTGTTCCTAAATTACGTTTGTATGAATTTTAAAATGGTTTTTTAAATTTCTTGGCCCAGGATTGTACCCAAGGTCACAGAATCGGAAAGCTGGGATCTGAGGCTGGTTAAGACTGGTAGTGAAAAATGTGCCTGTAATACATCTTCATATTTGCAAATGTATTTTATTGCTGTCCGTATCCTGTGAGAAAAATCCAATGTTCTTAAAGACAAGCACTGCTCGTTATATAGACACTTATTAATGTTTATTAGAAACTCATCTCACTAACGTCCATGGCTTTATTGGAAGTTCCTTAAGTAGCAAATCCAATTTCCTTTCTTATGCTTGTGCTTACTTAATTAACATCAAAAATTGAATGAGGCAAAACAAAGTTTGATATTTATTTTAATAAGTTATATAAAGTTAGTGTAATCTCATTGAGCACATTCTTCATTGCTCCAGCTGCATGCACCAAGTGCCTTTGCAGCTCCTTGGTTTATAGTTTTGCATCGTGCACGATGGACAACCTAGCCACTGATGAGGCAACCAGTAAAAGAAAGGAATAAATTGTAAAGTTTGTGCTTTATGGTGCACGTTCTGGGGATACAGGGCTGCTTGTTGTGTGCTCTGCACGTAGCTGGAGATGCCTTGGTAAATTAAAGAACTAGAGCCTAGTTCTGAGAGGAGAGGTTTTGCAGAAAAACCTTCAACAAGCCATCAGGATTCCACATGGCATAACGCTGTTAAGGGCAGAAAGCAGGGGCCTGCAGCACGCTTCAGATAGGAGCACTTTTGGAGAGGGCATCATCCCACCTTGCTGCACCCACTCTGGCAACTCGCTCTTTTCAGAATATTTACCTGACCATGTGACGTCTGTTGACCTTAGAACAAGCATTATCATATTGGAAAGTAATGATAAAAAAATACAGTACTACAGTAAAGCTATTATAAGCTCTAGTGTTTGTGCCATTACTGGGGAATATGGTATTGATTTCTTAATAAATTATGCCATAACCTACATTTTTGCCTCGGGTTAACATTTAACACTATAAGCAAAAGAAAGGTACAATATTATACAGATATCCGAACAAGATTTACCCAACCACAGAATTCAGCTTTAAAATCAAGAGCTGTGGGGCCTTGCTCACCTTCACTTGTCGTCGTCTCCTCTATCACGGCTCCTGGGCAGGGGACAATGACACTGGGTGTCCCCACAGCAGGGTGACCCTACGTAGGGTTGATGGCTCTGCTGCTCACTTTCTCTTCCAGATGGTGCAGCGTTCAATATTGAATTGTGACCATTCTTTGGCCATGAGATAACCTTGCTTCAGTAGTGCTGAGTGCCCACAAGGAACATCTCCAACGTAATTTGATGGAAGTGAAAGAAAAAAAGAAATCCAGCCTGGCACTTGTTGTGAGTTGCTGCTTTTATACTCAAAGTGAAATGTTTTCTGTATGTGTGTGTGTGTGTTTTTAGAGGAGGGGTTCGATTATAATGTATTTTTCCAAATTTTTGTTTTAGAAGGAAGGTCAGTTTGATTGCTTTTCTTTCTGTCTTTTTTCAAGGAAGGGGACTAAAATAATTTAAAAAGTTCTGTGCTGTTCTTGTAGTGGCTAAAGATAAGTATCAGTGTAAACCTTGAGCTGGATGACATGCATTCTGCTGGCAAAAGGGAATTAGAAAAAAGAATCTGTGCTAGAAAGACTTTCAGTGCAAACTGAAGAACAGCTCTATCTGTATGTTTCAGTGTACAACTCAGAAAGGAGAGGTAAGGAGAGGAAGACACGTTGGCTCTGGTTGGAGTATTGCTCTCACTACTATGCTGTAACCTTTGTTCCTCAGACAAACATTTCAAAAGCTATTTTTGCCTCCCATTTTCCACCCAGTTGGCATCAAACAGCTGCTCTTTCCTTCGTCATTTGCAGGAGTCCTAGTGCTAAGCAGCAGTTTTCTAGGCAGTAATGTTTTAATAGGTAATGTTTTCTCGGTTCTTCTGAGCCTGACACATCCTTATTTGGATTCATGATGATGGCTTAAGTGGTTTCATACAAATACTTGTGCATGCACTTTTCCCTACTTGGTTTACAGGCAATTAAGGAGCACCACTGTCCATTTTGTTACTCTATCAATACGTAGATTTGCAGAAGAAAGTTCTGAAATGCAGATCTAGTTTGAATCTAGTTTAGTGCAAGTGCAGTCCCTGTTGTCAGAGGAGGCCAGGACACCTGTGGCCACACAACCAAGAGTTGAAGTGGAAGACAGTAAGGCATCCATCTGAACCGACTGCATGTATGCATGTCATGGGTATGTAAGCAGTAGGCCAACCTTTGAGAAACAGCTGAACAAAGGGAGGGAATGAGTACTTCAGCAGGAGGTTATGTTTCCAGAAGGAAAAGAGCTGCCAGGCAGAATGGAAATGGATTCACCAGCACCAAAAATGAAATTGTATTTCCTGCAGCAAAGATATTTTGCTAATGCACTACTGACAGGAGAATTAACTCTCTAGGATAACAATTTCAGCTGAAAATCCCAAATCTGCAGTCCTGAGTGCATTTGTCTTTCTGAAACCTGCACTGGTGTGCTATTTCTACACACATGCTTCAGGAACGCAGTGGAGATTTTGCACCTTCCATGTAGGAATAAACTCAGGCAATTTTTAGATACTCACCAAAATATCCTGTAAGTAAAAAATTTAGAGGTCCCCATTAGTATTAAGCATTTCCTCTTCATGCTGTCAGTGCTGCTATAGAAAGAGAAATGTACCTCGGCTTGGCTCAAGCTTAAATTCCCTCTCTTCTTGCACTCCTTAAATAGCAAATTGTCAGCTTAAGAGACTTGTTGCTGCAGATGACCGTGATTCATGACCAGTCTAAAAGAACTGAGAAGTTAATGGCTGTTTTTTCATATCCTATTAACTGCGTTGTACTCAGAACCCTGGCTTCTAATTTCACATTCATTTAGAGGTATTGTGGTGGCTGTTTTGTCTTTCAAGCCTGGTGGGGCCTGACTTCGTATTGCTCCCAGAGCTAAATCTACCTTTGGTTGAGCTGCCCCTGACTTAGGCTTATGGAGGAACAGACCGCAAGGCCATTGGTTTTAATGAAGTCAAACGACTGCATCCAAATTTCAGATTTTTCTCTTTTTGAGGTATCTGAGCACCCCTGGACCTGTCTTGCTTGGAAAAACCCGGCTGGAGTATATGGGACATTGTGGTCTAAAATTAAAAATCATGTTTGCAAATTCATATTAATTAAAAAGAGACATGTGAAGCCAAACAAAAAAATCAATGAACTAGCTGGTTCTTCCTCAGTTAAGTAACATAATTTGTTCAATTTGTTTTATGTCTCTAAGTGAGGAACCTTTTACTCACTTTGATTCATGGGCGGAGGTTAGAAAATGGTACAGTAGAAAGGAAATTAACATTTAACCTGCCTGCCTGCATATCCTAGCTGATGTCTCAATGTGACTGCAGATGTGAGTAAATTCTCCCAATAAACCAGACAGATTATCTATAATATTCACATGCCTCCTTGTGCCTTGAGGATATCTCAGGATCTTTTGTAGTCATTACAGGCCAAATTAGGAAAAATAATCTGAGCAGGATGTAATACTACCTGACATATACGTAGTTTGTCAGTTAGAACTTAAGGGGACGGATCTTTAGCATCTCTGCAGATTCATGGTTTTAAACCCTGACAGTGTCTGTGAAAACAGCCAACCTGGCAGACTACAACTTGTCTTCTGAATGCAGTTATTCAGGAAGAGGTGATGGCAAACCAAAAGCGTGGCACAGCTCCGTAGGATCGTGCAGATTCAATTTGTCATTGGCTTCTTTGTCTTTAGGCTAAGACCGTGAGCCAAGAGGCTGTGTGGAGCCTTGTGGACTGCAGACTCTCCCATAGTAATCCCACTTTGTGAAATGCCTGTAAGTCACTGGACGTGAGACCTCCTCCACATTCTTCTTTCCCCTAATAGAAAGTGTTATAGCATGGCTGGCTGCACCTTCAAGAGACAATATGAAGAAATATACCCACTGTGATCACACAGTATTTACTTTATGTAATGCGCTGGGCTGCCTGTTGCCAAATGGCACATGGGTGAGTTGATGTCATAAAAAAGATTTGTATGAACTGCTGATAAAAAAAAAAGGTAATATTTTAGAACAAAAGTGCAAAATGCACTTTAATTTCATTGAGGAGATTTCATGATGTTTCTCACTCTTGCTAGACCTTCATGGTGTCCTGGCAAATGAGTGTATGGTAAGCACAGTGCATATCAGCCCAAGGCATCTGCAGAACTAAATGTTTTATTATTATTATTATTATTGTTATTATTATTTAAGAAGAACAAAGGACTTCATATACATATACATATATATATATATATAAAATATATATACACGGTGTCATAAAGTATCCAACTATTTCATAATACTGATAGAAAGAATAATAGAAATGTGAGTAAAAACAGGAAATCCACCTCCTTTCTGGCTGGCTGTGGTTTGCTACAGAAACTTAGAGCTCTGAATTTTTTGCTCTCATGTTGGATAGAAAGTTTTACTAATTTATTTTTTTAAGCCATTCACGAGGAGGCAATTGCAATACCACGTCTGCTGGATTTTGGCCTCTGAGAGTGAATCAGACAAGAGAAAGAAGGAGATGACTGGTTATAAAAGAAGAAAGCTGGGTGTTTGTGCTTAGAGATGTGCACCTTGTGTAATCAGCTCTGATGGAGAAAAAGGCAGAAAAGACCTGTAACAGTTTAATGGGTGTTTTGATAAAATATTATTATTATTTTTTTCAAAGTTTGCCAGAGTGAGGCAGTGTTTAATAGGCAGGATCATTATGGTCAGTGCAGAAAATCTTTTTGTATTCATGTTTCTGCCCCCTTCCAGGTAATAATAGCCTAATCACACCATAATAAAGATAGGCTCACGAAATCTTATTTCCTTGTAAATTCAAAACCTGACTGCCTAAGAAGATGGGGGGGATATAGGAGCCTGTTTTTTTTCTACAGAGTGCTTCTTATAATGGGTGCAAGATGATAGACTATCTGCCACATCTACAGGCTGAGATGTTGCCTACCTATTAAAATTCACCATGAGCTGAATTTACCTGATTCTGTGTAGTTCCTTGGCTGCATTGCTAGGTTTCATGTGGTGTCAACTGTGTGCTTTTAGAGACATGGATCAAGAGCTTGCTCCTAGCCGCTATCACAGGAGCTTTGCATTATTCCAACAATATACAACAGCCTTAAAATGAGGACAACTGCCCCATTTAGGGACTTTCTGCATAGCTCTGGTGGAAAGGCTATGGCTTGCCATCTGCAAGTCTTTGGAAGTAGATTTCTTCTCCAAGCTGCTGTTTTGAGCTCTTCAGGCGCTGGTTTCCCAACCCACTGGCAGTCAGTGTGAGTTGTTTGAGCTGGTATCATTTAAGCAGCAAATCTTTGCTAACATATTTACGTTCTTTGAAATGCTTTTGGGAACAACTGTATGAGCTGACCAGCTTGCAGAATGGAAGCAAATAGGGTCAGAGAACAGGGAAAGCTGTCTCTTGATCTGCTAGCTGGAGTCTAGGAAGCTGCAGCTGGTGTAAGGTGTGCTGATGGCTGTAGGAAATAAAGCATTCAAAAGGAGACTTTGGACTCCTTCCTTCCATTTTTCTGAGCAGAGAGAACAGCTTTTGTATCTTTTTACGTATGTTGGGGGAGTTCTTGATATACCGGGTACAAATTCTAAACTATTCTAATCTATGGACAAAATATCTACTGAAATACTGTGAGGATGTGAAATGCAGAAAGCAAAAATAAGATAATGCTAAGATGCAAAGCAGTGGCAGCATCTTACGCTGTACAAAATCTTTTCTGTTTCAGTTGGAATTTGGTTTTGTTCCTTTGTAGCTGTTATTAGAACTAATTTCAAGACAGTAGCTTCCTATGTCCTTTTCAGAGGGACTGGAGTCTCCATATGTTGCAGACAAATTAAAAAAAGAACCACAGAATGCAGAAAATATTGCATATGTGCCGTTAGATCCAGCTTTTCTGTTTGCACTTCATTTGATTATGAGTATTTTCAGCCATCTAACGCATTAATACTTCTCTGTAGGGAGGGGCAGGGTTCATAGCCTTTTCAAAGCAGCACTAATGAGTGCCTTTAACTTAATAAAATGATCATTTGCCAACTACTTACCATAATGTGAACTAGATGCTTTCAGTCCAGAGATTAAAAGGAGTTTTCTTTGTAAATGCACTGCAGTTGCTATTACTTCATGATCAGTCGTATGCAGATATATAGGATGTTCATTGGTTATTGTTTCTGAAATCTCAGAATCTCATAAAATAGGCTGGAAGGAGTTGCTAGAGTCTATATTGTTCCAATAATATATGGATTATCACTCTCTAAATACGCAATGACATAAAAGGCAATAATGCCTTTTATGGATCCCATGTGGCCTATTACACTAATGATCCATGAATAATGGGGTCACGAGATGAGTTTTGAACAGTGCCTTTCTTTGTTGGTTGTTTTTCTCATTTATTTACCCAGGAAAATTCAGTTTTAAGTATCTGCTTTTCAGCAAGGTCCTACCATTTGCTGAGTTTTCATGTGGGTTAATGGATGCCAAAGAGGTCAAGTGACTTCCCAAAGGTTATACAATGAGTCACTGAATTTCTTGAGAATAACATTTGAGAACCTCCTAGTTTTCTGTCTTTTGCTCTGACTGATACTAAAAAGAGATGTTGAGAACGACACGACCTCAGTTTTATCCCTGTGCTGCTGCTTTGAGGAGGCATCAAAGCTGGGTGTTCACTGGAGAAATCTGAGACTCCCGAGGCAATATTTCCCGTATTTCTCACCGAAACAACCCGAAGAAGCAGAAGTGCTGCAATGCAAACAGGCTGCTGTGATCCTTGCAACATAGATAGTCTCTTAAAAAAAAACCCAGCAAATACAACACATGGAGACCAGCAAAAGTGCTAATCCAACACAGCAGGATTGTTTTGACTTAATTATGTTTTCCATCTTTAACTGTTGCTGCAATGGTGTTCCTGTCTCTCCAAGTGGAAAGCCTCTGCATTACAGATGACCCTCGGTGCTGCTCTTGGAGACTTAGTCACAGAATGCAGAGCCATGGGTGCCTCTTCATGTGGCATCTCCACGTTTGTGTCTGATGTGGATATTCAAGACCTGCCTGGATTCTATCCTGCTCAACCTACTGTGAGGAACCTGCTTTTAGCAGAGTGGTGGGACTCAATGATCTCCAAAAGTCCCTCCAACCCCCGTGATCCTGCTGATGGTCTCTATGTCTCTGCTGGGGAGGGGTCATGTTCTGGATGCCCCCACTTCCATCCTGCAAGCACTGGAGGAGACAACAAATACAACACACCGGGCCATCACCCTTGCTCTGACTTTCCACTTTCTTCTTAATCTCTTCCAGGTGGAGAAGGGCTGCCATGCTGTGATGATCCCTGGCCAGTTCCATTCCCCTGGATGAGTCCCACCAGGCTGTTCCCCGTGCTTGCTAAGCTGCAGAAGTGGGGTAACTCTTGCTATTTGCTTCTCTGCCCTAGTTTGGTGTGTGCGCAGAGCTCTTTATCTCCAAAGGGTTCGCTATTACTACATGCTGAATATTATTTTATGCATTTAACATACTATAAGGCAATTACGAAATGTAAGGTACTGCGGAAATAGGAAAAGATCTGCCTGGAATAATAATTTCATTTTGAAACTTTGTTGCTAAAAGACTTCGGGGTGAAATTGTAGTGCAACATATGAGCTTTTAATGAAATGACTCGCATTACTTCTAATATGAGTGGAAAAAACCTACACACCGCATGGTGAAGTTTCATTTAATTAACAAATAATTTGTATTAGAATAGAGTTGTCAAATTCTAATTCATCAAACAGGATTCAGCAACGAACTGAAAATGTTTTGAGCACGAACGTTTCCATACTTACACATCTCTAGGCTGGAAACTGCGTCAGTTATTTCTCTGCAAATGCATCAGGTTGGGGCTGGCGCTCACAGGTGCAGGCGTGTTGCAGAACAGCCAGGAGAAGCAGACAACTGATGTGACTGCACGTGATGTTGTTAATCTGGTATTGTGTTGGATGTGGACGAAACAGACCGTAGGGGACGAGGTCAGAGAGTTGTTTTAGTTACTTCAAATGAGAAGGAGGTTAATTAATGTTGCTTACGATTCCGTCAGCTCTGTGTGCGTTTCGTGACATGTGTATATATATTTTGTGTGCATCGTTTTCTTTGCCTTGGAGTGAGCCAGCGCCGCTGCTCTCGCTGTAATAGCTGAGTGCCTGCAACCATCTTACTTAAAAATAGATTGAAGGCTCGCACCGTTGGGGAGAAGTCGCACAATGGTTGCTGACAGCCCATTGCACACGCTGACCAAGGCGCTGGCTTTAAAACAGTTTGGCTTATAATTATATCTTTACAGCTAACTGGGCTATCCAAATGATTTTCTTCTTTCCCCCTCCCCACATCTACTGACCTGTGGCTAATGAGATTTGTGTTTCGATTAGTTGTAGAACATAAATTAACTAATCAATGAGAATGGATTCGCATCCTTTCTTGTAAAAGAGCTCTGCTGCAGTGATCTGTATTTAATATTCAAATCAATTTCAAATTCTCAGGATGATTCTGCTAATATGGCAGGCTGGGACTCGCCGCATCTGTATCCCCACCGCAGACTGCAGATGGGGGGTGCTTATGGAATCTCTCACTGACCTCCAAAGCCTTCTCTGGTCTCATTGATTTACTGTGTCACTTCATAGTGATGATGAGAAGCTTAGAGGCTGGCAATGAAGCTTGGAAAGTCATGTGGGAGGGCATTTTCCCTTTACTTTAAAGAGCACGTAGACCGAGGATTCACAGGACTTGAAAAATGCTGTTTGTATTTGATACGGAGATTTAGGATCAATATATTCTATATATATATAATGTATTATATTCTAACTCAAATTCCCCCTATACCTGAGATGAGGTTAAGAGATGGCCATCACCAAACTGCACCGCAAGATTCTCTCATTTGCTTTCAGGTGCAGAGAACTTTATCTCTTGCCTCGTTGCAGTTGTCTCATCTGTACAATTATCCAGCATCTTGGCAGAAAATGTGAAAATTTGTACAGTGTTCAAAGCATCTGTGGCCTTTATGGTACAAGTTCTGTTAGTACTGAAGCCACAGAAAATTAAATGTTCCCCAAAGAACTTCCAGATGTGTTTTATTCTAATAGGGTCATTATACAGTAAATTAAAAAGCAGGGTAAATGGAACTGTAAAATTTAAATTACTCTAAAACCACATCTCTTTGCTTTGAACATTCATTTGTGGGGTTGCATTTGCAATAAATGTGAATTAGGCAGCTGCAATAACTGTTAATCATATATTTATAAAATAGTAATGAGGAAATGAATAGCAGAGTAAGACAGCTGCACATTTCTCTAATAGTATGTCAACTGTGAACATAATAAGATGTAGAAAATTGTTTGGTGCTATGCTGATAATGCAGCCGAATGTAAGAGATCACTTCAACCTCTTAACTTTACAGGAAATTATATATAAAATCCATAAAAAGCCGTAATAATACATTAGGCCTCTGAATTGCAGTCAATGTTTTTCTTTGCTTTGATTTTTCTGAAATGGGCCATACTTTTCCCAAAGTAATCTGCCAAAGATCACCGGGGCTTTTGTTTCAGGCTGCGCTTTATTCACCATCTTGCAATTTCATTTAAAAGACGGTGCTTCTGAGAGCCCAAAGTGATCTAACTTCCCTCTGGCAGGGGCTGCGGGTCCCCTCCCTCTGCTTGTAGGCTTTCCATCAGCTCTGGGAGCACTGAAGCTCCGAGTCCTGCTGCTCCATCCCCTGCACTCACAGCCTCACGCGAAGCAGAGCAGGAGGTGAAATCAAAACGTGGTAGGCAAATAGATCCAGCTTCAAACGTAGGAAAGGGTTGTCGGCGTGGCCTGAGGGCAGCTGGATGAATTCAGGTAAAATTATAAAGGGTTGAAGAGAATTGTAAGAATAAGGGATGCAACCCAAGGATGGGGAACAAATGGGGATGTTTGGCAGCCCTGCTGCTCGCAACCTGCCCTCGTGCCACGGGCTGCTCACTTGTGGTTCTAACCAGCCTTAATTGAATGTTGCAACTGGAATGGGGTGAAGAGGGGAATGAGAAAGCTAACAGGGAAAAAGATTAGGCGAGTGCTGGGCTGCAAGCAGCTTATCGGGCAAGTGGGGAATAGGTGCTAAATGGGTAACAGGGAGGCTGCCGTAAGAAATGCCACTTATCAAAGCATTGGCACTTGGCAAGGAAAAGCAAAGGGAAGGAACGAGGGACCCAATCCCAGCGCTGTGGCAGACACCAGAGGGACTGAGAAGTGGCACAGCTGGCACAGGATGTTAGAGCTGGGCTGCATTGCAGCATGCCCTGACATGGCTGGCGGACAGGGATGAGTTTAGTCGTGCTGTTTACTATATGGCATACATTTTCGTGTGTGATTTTGCTGCAAATGTTGTGTCGTTTCGAATTTTGATTTGCATTTGGGATAACACAGCAAGCTCTCTTTCTATGCTTTCCTCCCTTCCCTCCCTCATAATTTTCACATATTAAAAGACTCACAACCATCTCCAGAGGACCGTAGAGGATAGGGGTCAGCTCTCCTCCAGTCGGGACGACCCTGCCCCTATTTCTGCCTGGGGAAGGACAAGGTGAGAGGTGGGCCGCAGGGGGCAGGAGCTGACATGACCACGAGCTCTCTCAGTGTTTTCTGAAACCTTTGCAGTCACTCCACGGACCTAACCTTTAGCCTTCATCAAGCTGTTGCCTTAATGGACAGGACTTTTTTTTAGCACAGATCTCTTTTGGCCTTCTTAAAGGCTACAAAGATATTGTGCAGTGGCCAGAAGGAAGAACAGACGTCCTCGGTGTAACCCCATCAAAGGAAATATTGTTCATAAAGCATCACTGTGTTATCCTGAGCTGTCACAGGCAAAAAGAGATAGAAAGACAGATACAGAAGGAGACACATATACATAGATGAATTTGTCCTGTATAATTTTGGCCTTCCACTCACCAAAACAAAGCGATTGTTGTGTTATTAAATATAAATTAAAGGAAAGCAATGGAAAATGGCTTGTTTTCAAATCTTTTTCTTTTTTTTTTTCCCCGTGAAACAGACGATTCAATTTTCTAGGAGAAGCAAAGTTCAAGCTCTCATTTCCCACTGTACATTTCTGTGTTAGTGCCTCACAAAATAGCAGTTCATTTCTGGAAATCCTATTACTGTCCACACTCAAGCAGCAACTTTAACACATACATTGGTTACCTGGCAGCTTCTTCCTACACAGCTCCCACCTTGGAGAGTTAAAGCTTATAGTTTTAAAAGGAAAATTGAAATAGCCCAATTTTGAACAATGCACATTGGAGGGGAAAAAAAAATGAAAGAAGAAAAAGTGCACATGCCACTGTCAGCTACGAGAACCCCATCTTGTCTTACATTGTGATCCCGACAGATACAGAAAGCAGAGCTGTGCATTATCATTATCTTAGAGATGGTGATTTGGTGTGTGGACACTCCACCAAAGATCTAATGCAATCACAAAGTTAAAATATATGGGCTGGAAATACAAATTCATTAGACGTACACAAGAAAGTACGCTGCGGCGGATCTGTCATTTAAATTAGATTGTGACAATTATATGGATAGTCTGGTTGAGATGATATATGAGTTGCTCACTTTATCTATGCCGTGATTTAATTTCTGCCAGAGATGCACTGAGTTAGGACCCCGTCATCCTCTCACCGGACCTACGCTGAACAGAGCTGGGCCCATCCCGCATGCTTCCCGTTAGCAGCTCGAAGGATTTAGAGGTATGTATTTCTGTTTATACACAAACCAACATCTTTTTGTTGCGTGAGAATCCCGCTGGAGTTGCTGCAGATCTTTCCACTGAGCTCAGCAGGGATGGGCCTCCTGTCTCCTGCAGGATGCTCCTCATGTGCAGCAGCACGTTCCGCCACTTGGCTTGCAAGCAGCCCCTGCAGCTCCCTCTGCACAGAACCAGAGCGCCGTGCCCCCAGCACCGTGGGATGGGCATCCTGCTGGGATATCTCTGCCGCCCGCTGCTGCCCAGCGGCAGTTCTTTGTGCTGCAAACAGGGCTGTGTGCACGGAGAGCTTCAGGTAGTGCTGTTTGGGCCAACGGGCGGCTGCAGCATCTGAATGCTGATACAGGTTAAAAAAAAATAAATAAAAAACCCCACCACGATTAACGGGGAAAGGTGATTTGATAACTTCTGACAAACGCAGTAAATGCCACTTCTTACAAATGAACGCTAGCGATCAGTTTAATTTCTCAAGTAAAATGATTAAATTGCTGTTATTGTGGGATCATTATTTTATTGCTAAAACCTTTTAAAATGTTAATTATTGTGCCCCTTGAAAAGCTTTCATCTTGCCTGACTTTGCTCTGACACAAAAAATGTCTCTGGCTGTGACTTGGAATTGAATGAATGTTCGTGCTTTGCCTTTTCTCTCTCCCTCTCTTTTGCTCCTTTTTTTTTTCCTTAACACCTGCAACTATTCTCCTTGGCTGTAATATTTATATGAATTTAACTTTAATTTTTCTCTGCTTTCATCTTCTGAATTAGTCAGTATAAAGCACAGATCACTCCTTCTCTGCTGCTTTCCTGTTTATTTGCTTTAACAATAGATTCATTAACTAGATTTTGGTGCTCAAGCCATGCGGACACATCCATTTCAAAGGAGGCTTTAATGGCATTTCATATTTTTCTACATTAAGGAAGATTAAAGTATATTACAATACCCTTTACTGCTCTATTTTCTTCATTTTAGAAGTGGTCAGTTTTTAAATTTTTTTTCCCCTTTCTTTCATCTGCAGTGTTCAATAAATTGTCCAGGCCTTTCAGATGATAGTTCCAGCAAATTGAGTTCTATATTACAACTCTGAACCATTGTTTAGCCCATCATCAGTCAGATAAAGCACTCCTATTCACACAGGACATCAAAAGAACAAATATATGTTCAAAGTGGCTAAAAAGATTACTGTGACTTAGATATATCATTTCGTTAATTGTTAGTGATTATTCCACTAGTTTAGAGGTGGTGAATTTGCTGACTCTGAGCTCGTGCTTGTGATGTAATCAGAGTGGAATATATAGATACTCACGGCTGTAAATTACACCATTCAAAGAGGGTCACGTCTATCTTTTTCTAATAGCTGGAGGTGGACTAATAGCAACATTTTAATGAGAAGAAAGATGTAGAAGGACATCTTAATTTCACACGAAGGGTATGTGTCAAAGAGCTCCAGGGAATCTTGGCTGGGCTGAACGGGAAGTGATGGCCATGGGTGCCGAGCCAAATTCAGCCCTGGAGCAGCCAGACTGAGTTGGGCTGTGCCTGGACGAATCTGCCCCAGTTGGAATTTAGGCTTTTTGTTGGGTGAGAATAGCTAAAGTTAATGCCAGTTTGATCCTACAGACTGAGGGAGCGGAGGTTCACGTGGTGTCTCTGAGCAACCTCTTGTGAAGCGGTGGTGATATGTTAGTGGCTCCCACCACCATGGTGTCCAAGTGCCGTGCTGACCTAATGTGTTTGTCATCAGCTCCAAGTACACAGGGAGGGTTTTCAGGCACGGGAGGCAGAGGCACAAAACCTGGGATGCCCCAGGGCACAGAGGACGGTGGTGGAGTCCACATCCCTGCAGGTGTTCCAGAGCCATTGAGATGTGGCACTGACGGACATGGGCAGTGGGCATGGTGAGGGTGGGCTGGGGTTGAGTTTGATGATCTCAGAGGTCTTTTCCAACCTTAATGACTCTATGATTCTGTGATTCAATAGAATAGGCTCCTGCCTGGAAGTTTAAGGTCACAGAGAGAGGCTGAAGCAGAGGAGGGGAAAAAAATGCACCTGTTTGAATTGCCAGCCTGCAGACCCAGGTTCCCTCTGCAATCACTGCCACGTAAGTATCTCAGTAAAACCGTGCATATTCACAGGACATAAAGTGAACACACGTAATTCTTTGCAAGGTTCTGCTCTTCAAAGGTAATTTCAGAAATGTTGCCGATGCACAAACTGTAGCATGAGGCGTTGAATTGAATGCAATTGCATGCTGCAATTCTTTTCTCATGTACAATGTCTCTGCATTGGGTACAATGGGGAGGAAATGCTGAGGATGCCTGATCGCGTGTGAGGCTACTGCTGGAAGACAGATTTTACAGCAGAACAATCGCAGGGTGTAGGTTTTAGGCAATAAGCAGGTAGCCTCGTTCTCTCGGAAGAAAAAAGAAAATAATGGAAAACTGTAACATTCATTTGGAGGCCTCAAAGGCATAAAAAACCCAATTCCAACTGTTATAGGTCCCTGCAGGAGTCTACAAAAGAACTAAGCTTTTTAAGTAAGAAAACTAGATTTTGGCCCAGAGGGCCCTGTCATTGCTGCTTAATAGATGAAACTCTTTTGATACAAATATGCTGTTTACTTCTCAGCTTCAACTTTCATAAAATATAACCTTTTTATGATTTACGACCCCAGAAAAAGTGCAGGATGGATTTTTAGCTCTGAATTGGTTGAATGTCAACAAGAAAAATATAGATAACATATAGAAATAGCAGGGTGTTAATGCCACACAAAATGATGAAATTATTTTTGTTTGGAAAAGTTAAGTTTCTTCTTAAAGTTCCTTGTGAGTGAAACTGAGGGAAGGGTTTGCTGGTGAAACATGGGTAGCTTTGCACAGTGCTTCCTTTTGGCTTCACGATGGCGTTGGTTGGCTTGGAAATTGCTGCTGACACAGTATCCATTCGTTCCTTCAGGAAGGGGTGGACAACGCATTGGGGTTGGTGATCCTCCTGCCATTGCCCCAGATACGAGCAAGCACTCTAGATGTAGGTCTTGAATCATTTGCCCAAATCATTGTATTTTTTCTTCTTGGCAACCATATTCACTGAATCACGGAATCATTAATGTTGGACAAGGCTGCTGGCATCATCAAGTCAACCCATCACCGCCATTCCCACCAGCTATTTCAGTAAACCACATACTGCTCTGATATTAAAATTAAACCCAAACAAATTCTCGATGTTGCAAAATCAAAGGTATGAGAGCTTTAATGCCTGAGACAAGAAGAGTAGTAAAGATGAGGGAATAACCGTCGCTGAGAAGATTGCACATATTTTCATTTTTGTCATTTTCCACTTTGTCTTCTCTCTTCTGCAGGTTCTTTAGCATTAGTGATGTGCCTGTTTTTCAGGTGGCTTTTCTTCATGTTGTTGTGAAGTTACTGGAAAAAAAAAAAAGTTGATTTTTCTGAATGCTTCAGGAAATAGCCTGATCCCAGACAAATTGCCCAGGAAGGCTCTGAAATGACTTAGCCTGCCACAGAGGCAAGGTTGTGAAAATTGAAAAGGTTTTCACTTTTGACTCTTCCAACTATTGCAGAAAGAGATATTTTCTGGTGTATGGTCTCTGAAAACTGTCACTGAGCAAAATTAAAATAACAAAACTATCGGTCCGTGAGCATCACGGGATGCTGCATCGGGGGGTGTGTTGGGCTCAGGGATGGGGGCTGCCAAGAGAGCTCAGCAGCTGCGGGGGTTGTACAAGAAAGGTACACAAATAGTGGGGCTAGAAAACACGTTACTGCACTGATCTGTATGCTCCTCTCCTGTGTATTGCCAAATTGAGAAAGGAAAGATTGAATGAATGGAAAAGTTGTGAGAAGACATGGGAGAAGCAATTTTGCTGATTGAACAGTGATCCATCCTGGAGCAGGAAATCAGAAACAGTCTTCTGAACCCAAACCCTTCTGACTGCTTGACTTTCCTGTAGCTAGTTGAGGTAAGCAGTATCAACTGACTCTTCCAAAAGGTTCTCTGTCTTTCTGATGCCCCTCACCTGTGCACAGACAAGCCAAGCAGAAAAGGATCTTGGAGATACAAAGTGCAGAAAGCTTTGGATAAAACTAGCTCTGAAACATTCAATTCCATTAGGAATCATAGCATCATAGAATGGTTTGGGTTGAAAGAGAGCTTTAAGATCATCTAGTTCCAACTCCCTGCTATAGGCAGGGACACCTCCCTCTAGAGCAGGTTGCTCACAGCTCCATTCAGCCTGATCTTGAACATCTTCCTGGTGAGGGCATCTGCAACCTCGCTGGGCAGCCGGTTCCAGTGTCTAATGCTCTTTTTGAGCTTGTGACTGTAGCTGTTTTTCATAGATTGGCCTCTTCCTCAAGTGAATATATTAGAGAAAATAAATAGGTATACCTCACTGAAGAGATGTTGGCTACAGTGGATATATTTCTGCACGTATCTGTATGTGAATGCTGTGTGCGACAGTTTAAATGGAACAGTCCATCTGATCTGCTCACCTGCCCTTGTTAAATGTACAGCCATATTCATGGGACATTACAGTCAGCAGCAATATGTATGAAATCAGATTGCATTCAACCTGGAAATGACCCACATTGTGAACTCTACAGGCAATATATTTTCATACATATCAGCCCTGGAGCTGTGAAAACCAGAAGGAGTTCAGCAGCAGGGTGGTTTATACCTGTACGAGTAGGAGAAGGAACACAAAGCTTGTCCCTTCCTCCCACCCTTCCTTAGTCATCTCACTTCTGTGTCTTTTTCCCTTTTTTTTGAGATGGTTTGGGGACTATTTTTGAGAAGCAGTTTTTTAAGGACACGTGTTTTTCTTGAAGTCATGCACACATAAATACACTGGCTGCCCACTGCAAGAATTTACCAATGGATCCAAGTCAGGATCAGATGTCATTCTGAGCATGAACTCAGTTCATCCAGAAGTTACTGGCAGAGGGCAGGACATAAATGCTGTTCATATCCTGTAGCCTGGAATCAGACTGAGTCCGGGTTTCCTTCTCATCCTCATCTCAGGTAACAGCCTCACTTGTAGGTTTGGCGTTTGGAGGATGAATTTGCACGGAGGAGTGGCAAGAAAAGTTACCACCTCTCATGCCATTAGGAATTCATGCGTAACTATTTCAGTCATTCCAATTATTCCAATTATTTGAAATCTTTCAGTTATTTCGAATCCTTCCCAAAGTCCTTCCATCATCACAACAGCCAGCTGCTGTGCTGGGTGCTGAGATTTATGCCAGAGAGATGTTTCATTTTTCCATCTGCCCCTTTCTTTATTTGCTCTTTTATAGCATTTCTTTCCCCAATTATTCCGAGGTTGCTTTTGATGGGGAAAAAATCTCTGCTTCGTAAGACCGCAGCTAAAACCTTACATCCAAATACTGAATGCCAAATGGCAAATCTGGTGGTGTGATCCATCAGTTCTAGGAGCAATCATTTTACTTGGAGGGCTCATTTAGCTGCAGGCAGCGTGGTTATGTCCTGCTTGATAGCCTTTGGGTAAAGTGAATTTACTTTACTCACCTACTTTGAAGACTAGAAATATGGTGCTGTTTCATTCTCAGGTAGAAAAGCAAAAGAACTGTTCAGATATTCTCTTGAAGCTGTCCTGAAAAGTGGTTCGTAATGACAGAATCATAAAGGTCATGTGCTATTTTCTTTCCATAAATCTGGCAGTGGAAACATTATGGGTTTTCCTGGTCTTTATCCTCCCTTTCAGTGTGATGAAGGTGTCTGATTCTCTTTGGCTCCTGTGAGATTCTGAAGGTTGGAAATTAAGTGCAGAGCACAGATGAGTTCTGCTGCACCTCCACGTCATTAGGGGCCATTGCAATTCCAATGGGCCCAGTGCTGGGAATAATAACTGACAGGACTCTAGATTTGTTCATTGCCCACAAAAGATTCTCACAGCCCCCTGGAAAGGGTTCCTTATGCTGCAGGAATTAGAAGGGTGGCAAATCTTCTTGTAGCATCAAATCCCTGGGAAATCCCATAATCTGTTCCCACAGAAGCACTGGAAGGCACTGAAATGAAGTCAAAGGAGAAGACACTCAGTGGCAGGGCAACCATTTCATCTCACATCTGTAGACCATATACTATTCCGCAGCCATTTGGTGTGGGTCTCTTTGGACATAAAAGGAGGACTGCATATGGAAAATATGTACAGGAACTGAAAGCCCAACCTTGGGCACCACACCTACATCAGCTAAGTCCACCTGAACTGCTGTCTGGGCTCAGCAACTGGAGTAAGATGTATGCTGACACAGCTGTATGGCTGTGGATCAACTCAAGGGGTAAGCAGTGGAGACTGTCTCTGTTTGCTCTTAGACCACTAATTTGCCTCGAAAAAGGAAAAGAAAATGAACCAACGGCTTGGAAAATATCGCTCTTTGTCAAAATTCCATGCAAAGCAAATTGAGCTCCTTGTTAGGAAATAATGCATCTTTTTTTCCTCAGCTTAGAGCTGTATTTTTTTAATAACGAGAGCTGGCGTGTGCAAAGGGTGGGGTTTGAATTTCATGTGTGGTAATGATCCCTCAGTAACTCCCAGGTTCTGTACTTCAACACTTCGCTCAGAGCCTCTTCTTGCAGTGTAGCATCATGTGCTCCCAGGAGGAGCTGGAAGGAGAGACTGGCGTGGCGTGGAGGAGAACCCTGGAGAATTGGCTGTTCTGCAAGAGCTGCTCGGGATTAGTTCTCCAGACAGACAATTTCTAAATCTGGTTTGCCCTGAGTGTTGAGACAACGTTTGTGGCTGGTTGTGTAGATGTGAATGAGTGTGAGTAAATGGCTCTTGGCAGGCAGACAGGCGCAGTCGTTTCTCCCAGACAAAAACCTGGCCAGCAGCTAGGTTGCTTCATATGGCCATGACTCTGAGGTCTGCCAGATTTGTAATCCTATTGGTCAGAAACGGAACTGGAGCATTAATTAAAGGTGGTAACTGTGAATGATCCTATAAAATACAGCATGTGTTTGCATTTCAGGACCATCCTTTTTCCTTTGTTTAAATTCGTGGCCTGGTTACAAGTCAATTTGGCTTGATGTCCTGTTGATTTGACTCCTTCTGTGATCCAAGTCAGCATCCCCGTTATTCACATGGACCTGGTTGATGACAAGAAACTAAATTAATCTGGAATCAAGTAACGGTGCAAAGAGTTGAATGTTTTGTTTTTAGAGCAGGTGATCTATCATCGAATCTAGTTCTTGTTTTCTCTGTTTCTCGCTGGTCCAACTGTGTCATGCTCATGTTCTTGACACACTTATGCTGTCCGATGCTCTGTTTCTTTGCTTGAGTTATCATTCATGCCTGAGGGTGCATAGTTCTGTAAAAGATGTATTTTTTGACTCAGTGGTGTGGAATGTATAATCTGCATTGCTCTCTGTAAATAAGTGTTTAGTGATATAAGGGAAGAACCTAAATTCTTGGAAAAAATTATGTGTTACGGTCATTCCCAAAGGAGTCACACTTATTTAATACCAACAGCAAATTCAGTCTTTTTTTCATGACTGCTTTTGAGTCGGAGCAAACAAATCCCAAAATATTTACTAATTGAGCAAATCCAGATGAACTGCATAATCTATCTGTGGGTTTTGCCTGGTCTGGATTTATGTTCTTGGTGATCAACCAAGTCACCAGGTTCCAGGACAGGTTTTGGTGATGCTGTAGACACTGTTTGTCATCTACAATTTGTAGATACTGAAATCAGTGCCACTGTCAGATTGGCCATGAAGCCAAAGGTGTATCTAGATACATTTCCTTAAATATTACTCCATGTTTGTAATAATTAAATTATCCTTTAGCATGAAATCACCGCTAAGGCTTTTTTTTTTTTCTCTGAAATTGGTATCACCTGGTGTCACTAATTGACATTTTAACAAAGACAGCATGGATGGGTGCAACTCCACTCCAAAGCTGTAAGTGCCAGCACGCCCTGCTTATCCTGGCTAATGGAATCAAGAGCAAGTTTTGGCACAGCAATAACTGTTTAAGCCTCACCAGTTTGTCTGTAGCTCCACTTCAGTGCATGGGGCTTTAGTAAATCAGATTAAATTGTCAATGGCTTACAGATTCCTCCCTTTTCTTTGCAGCAATATCCTGGAAATGTTCTATTTATTTTAAGAAATTCTGAAGCTCCTGATAGAGCAGCTGACAAAGCTGCTATTGCAAATAAGACAAACACCCTACTCTGAATATGTCCAGTTCTCTTCCACCCCTGTTCCTTCCTGTTGGATGACACCTACAGTCATTTGCAAACATGAGTAACATATCCTGCATACGTTTACTCTTCCTTACAAGCATTTGCAGTTAGAGGTTGAGTTACTTCAGCTCACAGTGTTATTGTTCTGTCTGCATGGAAGCGCTGCAGTGTGAACCAGAATCTGGGCCTTGAAGTAGAAACAATATATATATAAAGGAAATGCTGAGAAGAGTAATAAAGAGCAATCTTCCTCTGAGTAAATAAAAATTACAAACAGAAACAATAATCAATATATTTTACAGTTCAAGAGTTCAGCACATGCTGTTGCAGTACAGTACAATGGATAGGCGGCATCCATGGATTATGAATTCCCACGTTTATGTGGGAACAGAAGTAAATAACTGAAACAAGAGTCATGTTGCAAGAATGTAAAACCAAGCTGGACTTAATGGTGTGCTATATTTAAAAGAGTGATGTGGTCCAAGGAGTGTTCACTTTATCTTTTCCTTCAAGCCTGGCTGCCTGCAACCTGCCAGGACGAACTAATTCAAAAGAAACCATTTTTCTCTATTTCAATCACCAGTGAAATGCAGTATGCATTGCACTTTGTTGCCCTGAATCGTGGAGACTGACATTACTGAACAGCAAAGCCAGGAAGGGCATGGCGTTATGGACGTCAATATGCAATGGTCCTCTTCCAGTTGGACGGACATTGCTTGGATCAGGTATAGTGGAACAGTTGAGGACTACAGCGATGCTGTGTACTCTTCCAGTCTTTTTTTTTAAGTGGGAGCAGATGGCTGAAAGCTTCATACTGTGATATAAAATCTTTTAGCTTTGTGAGTCAGTTGCGGAAGTACTGTCAGAAACTTGTACTTAGATCATCTATCCAAAGGAGATTTTGTGTAAGCTTCTGCACCTCTCCTCTCCCAACTTGCTCTCACCCTTTCCCTTCTTTCCCTGCGGTCTTCCATGAGGTACTGATCTCCAGTGCTGGTTCTTTCGTTGCTCCCTTCCTATGACGAACAGAGGAATCAGTGAATCTTCCAAGTGAGAAGAAACTTCCCAAGGGCTTCAAGTGATGTAAGTGGCTTCTGATCTCATAGAGTCATAGAATCATTCAGGTTGGAAAAGCTTTCTCAGATCCCCAAGCCCAACCCCAACCCACCCCCACCATGCCCACTGCCCACATCCCTCAGTGCCACATCTCCACAGTGCTGGAACACCTCCAGGGACAGTGACCCCACCACCTCCCTGGGCAGAGACAGTGCCTCACCACTCATTTAAAGTTTCCTAATATGCAACCTGAGCTGCCAGAAAACATCTTGGTTAGGCCAAGTGCAAATTGTCTACTCATGCCCAAGAGGAAGCTAGGTGAATTTGTCCTAGATGCCATTTGGGAAGCAAGGGAAGTGAGCGGTGGGCTGCCCTGCTACTTCACTGCAGTCAGGAGCAAACATTCAACCGTATTTTGACCTGGAGAGGCTGGTCGCTAAGCCTGGCCTTTGCACAACTGAAGATCTCATTAGCACAGGTCTGCAAGTGGCTTTTGAGAGAAAAAGATGGAATCCTGGCTTGGCTAAAATGTTCCTGTTGCTTGGTTCCATTTTGCTCTAGCTGATGGCCTTGTTCCAAACTGGGGTGTCTCATGCATAATGTGGATTCTGATTTGATGATGGCCCATTTTCCAGGTTAGTATGTGTTTTATCCAATAAAGACTATATCTTCACACATATTAAGGGTTTAGGCTTGTACATCTTGTCGATGTGATAATGTAATCCTGGAAATTGTATATGAAAAAAAAAAATTCTGACATAGACGTTCTTTCTAAAACCTATATTAAAAAAGCTATAATTTAGAAAAGTAGTTCTTGCAATGTCGCTAAAGAATGAACAATTTGGAATAAAAAACACAAAAAGGATAAATTTTGAGTGCTTGGCATTGTCAGACAAATACCATTCCTATAATCTTCATCAAAATCAATCTTATACAGATAGTAACAGTTGTGCCCTTGTTCTAATATAGAAGAGCCATTTTGTTAATTTCCCTGTATTTTGCGAAGTGCATGGAAAATACATTTTATGAGCAGGTGCTCTCTTACTTTATATAGGAAGTATTAAATTTGATACCACTTTCCTTTAATAAGACCAGATAATGGCACAAAATCTGAATCTATTATCACAAGGAAGAAAGTAACAAGGACAGAAAATGAAACAAATGTAATTTTTTCTTATTACAACACTCACATTTCAAACTTGTGGAGTGTCTGTGCTTTACTTTGTAATAACTACCGTGACTGCATAATGCTAGGATAGATATTGTTTAAAAAAATCACCCATAGCCTATTCAGGGCTGTGTCTTTGTGTGCTCGTGGTAGCCCGTCTCTTTAAGTATGTTGAGTTGAACAACTACCCAGCAGGTGAAAAAAACATTCTGCTACTAGCACAGTGCAGTACTTCATTAGATGGTTACCAAATAATCCTATGGAGCGGTGAGAAAGGAATGCATTTCTACCTACTGGCAGATGTCTTTCCAAAGTGCAAGGTGTTGCTATTGCGTGGGTATAGGATGATGTCTCCAATGAAACTACTTGCATTTTCCCTGCTTTGCCCCTCTTCCTCAGCGGCTGTAATATGCTATGAAAAGCAGCCAGCAGAACTAACACGAACAGCATAGTAAACATGCAGGCAATGATTTTTTTTTTCTTTTTTTTTTTCCAGTGCATACAGTATCAGCCATTAGCCTGCAAGCAATGATGCTGCATTCATATTTAGGGTAATTTTCACACTAATATGGCATATAGAAGCCAGATCCCTCACCAGACCGAAAGTGGTTTAATGGCCGAGCTTATGCAAGGGGAAGGGCTCTGACGTTGATCAGCAGATTCTGTGGTCAAAGTGACATAGATTTGTATTTTATAATTTTAATGGGAAAATAACAAAGCTCCTTTGTCTGTTGAAGTGGGTGAAAGTTATGTGACATTTAAAACAACAAAAAAAGTGCATCGTGTTTTGTGCGTAACATTTACAGCTGTGCACCAAGAATTTCTGCTCCGTAGTTGCACGACGTTCTTTGTTCTTTCATTTTATATTCCTAGGAAGAAATCAATAAATATATTAATGAAAATGATAAAAGGTATAATTGGCTCCTGGGATTTGTGTTTGTGCTTATAGAGTCTGCTATAGAGTCTCTCTGTGCTCACACTTTATTTCTCAGTGGAGTGAACTGTCCCCGTGTTTGCCAGTGCAAAGGCTGCTGGATGGTCCATGGGTTTGGTTGAGAGCCAGATAAACCCTGTGCAGCAACACAGCCCCGTGGAAAGCAAGTCCTGGTGGTTTCACCCTACCTAATTGCTAGACTTCTTGGATCAGTCCTGTGGGTACCTGAATACAGCCGTTGGCTGCAGCAGAAATGTTCCCCTTCATCTGCCCACCTTCACATTGGCACAAGCACTGACATCCAGTCTCAACAAAGGAAAGTTGGCTGCCCTGAAGCTGTAGGAACCTCAGCCCTGTTAGACAGACGTCCAAGTGTTCAAAACCGCCGTCTTTCTGTAACCAGAAATCAATTAAGAAATGTGGGAAACAAAAAATTGTGCCCGTGCTGAGAACTTCATAAATAAAATTTTACCCATTAGGAAATTTGGTCTGAGTTATTACCTCTCAAAAAACCAGCATTCGTAATGGGAATTCTGACAGAGCCCTCAGTACAGCTGTGAGAGTGGCACAGCTATAATTAACGCTGCCTTCAGACGCCTTCCATTAATATTTTAAGGACTTTTAATTAAAATAATTGTATTAGTTTATGAAAAATACTCTCTCCTTCAAGTTGTTTAATACAGAGAATATTCCAAACGTTCTCCATTATTTTTCTTTTTTTCTTTTTTTTTTTTTTTTTTTTTTTTTTTGCCTTCTAATCCCCATCTGTATGACAGGTTCTTCCTTCCCTCCACTTTCGGTTGTTGCTCCCCACAGTTCCTCCCCAGGCCCTCAGACTTGGAGCTCTGGCCAGGAGCAGGCTCTTTCTTCTCCACTTCTTTGGCCATGTTCCCTGGCTCACGTGCCCTGTCAAAGAATTAGATCTGCAGAATACAGCCACGTGAAGATATTGTGTCTTAAATATTTCCCAGCCATTTCTTACCTGTCAATCTATGAAAGCCATTATTTTCAGCTTGATATGTGTCATTTTTACTAATTCAAACGGAACTCAGAATACGCCTTTAATATTTCACTCATAAACAAGGCCTTCAGCAACAGCAATTGATCATCTTCGGTGCAAATGAAAAAAAGAGAAGCTGTGAGAAGTGATATTTTGTTTTGGAAGAATAGGTTGGTGCAGCCAGAGTCTTCAGAAACTCTGTGTTTGACTTTTCAGTATATCACTAAAACTGCACTGAAATAACATTGCACTCCTGGCAGGTAGGTGGGCAAGTGAAATGGTCACAGGCATGTAATAAATGACACCGGAATACAATACATCTATTTCTCATATACCTACAAACTGTACCTTTTCTCGCAGAGATAATACTTCAGTGTATGATAATTTATTGGGAGACGGCACGTCTGGTACAGAGAACTATTTGTACACAAGGAAAAGCCCGGCGTGAATAATTCAGCCAACCGCCACGCGCTGATATAAAGCAGAATCTGCCATCCAAAACAAATGAGACCCCAAACAGATGCTTCTATTGACTTATACTTGAATTCATTTCATCTTTATTTTATTTCAACTCTGCCTTAATTTTAATTTTTTATTTTTTGTAGTCCTCTGTCCGGCGTATGACACGGGTAACTTCTGAGCAGGCTCATCATTTGAATAATCAGCCATTTAGTGACATGCCTAGTCCTGTTTAATGACTGAATCTGTAAAAGTATGACCTCAAGCACTGGTTAACTTTAAAATAGCTGTGCCCACTGCATGACATAGCCAACAGGAAGCCATTAGAGCTCCAGCAATTACCATTTACATCCATCGACGAAGTCCCTATTTTATTTTAATCTGCTTAAGTACATTTTCTGCACGAGGTTAAAATATAAATCCCTTCTCCTGAACAAGACTGGTTTTCTGGCTGACTTGAGAGCACAATTTACAACTGATTTAATTTGTTCTTCACAAACATTCCTAATGACATTACCCTGGTGCATATACTGACTGCCTCCTCTTATTCCATTAACTCCCAAATCGGGTTTAAAGACCATATTGATGCTAGATGTTATTATGGGTGATTATCAAAACAACAGACAATGGGGCAAAGTGTTTACTAACTGGTTTATATATAATTTCTGTAATAACTACAACAGATGGTAATGCTACAAACAATAAATCAAGCTTTTCACTGCTGAAATAAATTGGCAGCCTGCAGTACAGAAATGCTGTATGTAACTATATACAGATGCTTCAGTCATCAACTGTATTGTTCATCTTATTAGAAAATGGGTCTGTTACTGCTATTACAGGAAATCTTTCCATTTGCAATTACAAATGTATATTTTCAATTAAAATTGTTTTTAACTGCCAAACTGGTTTAAGTATACTTTAACCTTTAATTACAAATAGAGTTATCACGTACTGCCAAGCCCGTTTGAGGCATTTGTTTGTGTCTGTGGAAGTTCCTCCTCAAATTGGGTTTTCACTCCATAAATATAACTCTGCCCTTCAAGAATCCTTCGGCCAACAGGCATCTGCAGTAACCTTAGGAAGTTAATTCAATCGTAGCTGTATAAAAGGATGTTTTATCCGACAATGCTTAAAACAGTATGAAACCTGCAATTAATTCCATTCACTTTTGTTTGTAGTAATTTATCAAAACATTTCTCTCCGTACAGCGCCTCCCGTCCAGGTCCTTTGTGGGAATCAAGACTCATGGCACCATCTCCCCGCGTTTGGGAGCTCCTGGGCCATCCATTGGCAATCCTGGGGGGAAAAAACATCCCTCAGCTGCTCTTCCACTGCCTTTGGGATGGAAACATTTCTCCCCAGGTTGGGAGCAAACAATACTGGGTTTTGGGGAGCTGCAGCATTTCTGTTATGAAACGCAGGGATGTTTATCCATTTGGAAGACCAGAAATGAGGATTTTATTACATATCCTTTCCCTTTTTACGGCTCCTTTGAATTGATACTCTCGTTAAGTGAGGCCATGTGTAACTGTTGAGTCACAGCCTGAACCACTGATTGAGCACCTGGGGAAAGGACCTGGTCAGCCCTGGGAGCACAGGTGAGGGCAATTCAGCTGTGTGACCAGAAGGGGTGGAGCCTGGCTGCACCTCTCTTAGACCTCATTTAAGGGCTGAGTGGCAGTGGGGAATGTTCCCTGGTTGGAGATCTCTCATTTGTAGAATCTTTCCTGGGAGCCTAGATCTTCAGAGATAGGTGAGCACTTTCTTTTTTTTTTTTTTTTCCCCCCCTTTGGAATACCATCCTGTGCAACACCGTGAAAGGGAGGTGAAAATAGGGAGCACACAATGTTTTCACAAGCAAGTTTGCAGCTTTGTTGTTTTTCAAAGTGACTGAGGCCTGTGCCCTACACGTACTTCATTTACACTGATTTCTAACTTGGCTTTGGTAGCATCCACTGCTGAGAGCGTAATCCTGAAAATTCTTCTGAGTACCTTCCTGAATTTTGAGGAGCTCACTTCCCTTTACAGACTCTAATCCTAACCCTGATCTCAGTGTGTCTTTGTGCAATGAGAGCCAAATACCAGCTTTGCACAGGTGTTTGAGGCCCTCATGCACCAAGTAATCCTTTAAGAAAATTTGAGTGTTAGAGAAATGTGATGCATCTCCAAGAGATGTGTGGTCTTGTGAGGTATGAAAAAAAAAACAAACAACAAACAAACCAAAAAGCTGGAAAATGAACTATTTTGTAGAAAGGATCAAAACTAAACACCAGTTTTTGACATGAAATAGTCAACATTCAAAACCAAGACAGAGTTTGTAAGTAGCCTGGAAAAGCCCAAGCATTATGGTGCACATTTGTGCTTAGATAGGAGAGATGGAAATGTCTTTGGTAACTTCACCTTTTAAGTGAAGTTAAGACACCTTTAACAGTGTCCCATGCTCACGTTCTTGGGACAGAGCCTTGGCCTCCAGTGGTGGCCAGCACTGGAGTGGCATCCTCCACTGGATGGATGCACCCAGCACACCTCTTCTGCAAATCCACACATGTATGCACTGCCCACGTGCAGCTGACATTATGAATCAGATCTGAGGTATATAATAAAGATTAAAAAATACGTTCCCAGCATTATAGAGAAGTTTAATTACAGTCCTGCAAAGGTGCAATCTGATTATTTGCTAATTGCCTTTCCATATTTTTTCAGGGCCTCACAAAGCAACAGGGATACTAAAGAGCAAACAGTGCTTTAAGGCCACGGTAGAATGTGACAACAGTGATAGATATGCTAATTTCTTCATTCACTCCACTTCACTTCTTTTATTCTTTCCAATTAAAGCAAATGCTACTGAAACTGTAATTAAGCTAGTGCCTCAGCCCTGATTGCCTGCTGTTTTAATGAAACCCTATTGATTTTTCTTTTATTTCTAATGGCCACACATTGCGTTCAATGGTCAAATGCATGGATGTCACAATGTGCGGCCAAACTCAGTTATTGTTCTCTAAAAGGGTGGCCTTATCAGAAAGAATATCAAAGGAGCTGTTGTGTGGGGTCTCTATAGTTTTTCCACTGTCTGCCTGAAGAGATTCACTTTGAGGAAATATATTACCATTAAAAAGAGATGAGATGCATTTGGTAGAGAATAAAAATTGCCATCGGTCTCCTGCAGTTGCCATAAGTTGCACATAGGTGTAGTTTACTCAAGAGTCTCAGTATTACTCTTAAGTTTTAATTGTTTTATTTGGAAGCAAACAATCAAATAAGCAGAGCTGTTCAGAAGAGAACTTTAATGAGGTATCATTTTTGGTGACTTTGTATGCATAATTTTGTCCCAGCATGCAGAAATCAGTGTTGGTACTCTCACTGCTAACAGTGCCTGACCTTATAGCATACAGCAGCAGAAACTCTCCGTGTGCTCCAGACACAGCTACCAGGATACTGAAGACACTGAGTGACAAAACATGAATAGAACTGACTCCATTCCCATTTTGCTTGAGAAAACATGTGTTAATAAGGCATCGTGG